CCACAAAAATAACTATTTCTAATTGCTGGACACTTCCTTTGCCTGGAATTTGTACACATTTTACAAAAAAAAAAAAAAAAAAAAAAAAAAACTGGCACATGACTGATTCCTAACAGTTTAGAACAGAGAAAAATATAGTTCTTAATAAAGAGGAATTTTTTTTTTTTTCTTTATCAATGCAAGCTACCACACTCTTTTTTACATTTGGGAAAAGCTGAGCAGAGAGAGGGTAATTATTTTTTGTCAGAAGTTGGTGAATTGTTATGATAAACTGAAGGATAGAAAGATCTGGGTACAGGAAACAACACTGTACTCTGCCACTGTTCTTTTTCAGGCACTACTGATTTCACTGGATTAGGTGGCTGTACTGATAGAATGATTGCAATATGAAAAGGTGGATCTCAGTCCTAAAATGACCAAAAGAATTGCTTCCTTCATCTTCCCCATACTTATAAATGTGACTAATTGTGGTGAAGCAGGTTCAGGACCTGCTGGATGAAATGAAGCATAATGAGCCACAAGAGTAAGATGACCTGCCTCTCTGTATAAACAAGGATTAAATGCTGGTTTTAACTACAAGATGGCTTTATTGCTCCTGTTTGTTTTATGGATTCTTTACCACCCATTACTTAATTAAACTGAAAACACAAGCCTGGCTTCATCATTAGTCAGCCTGTGAGCAGTCTTTAGGTGTCACCAAACCAGCTCTTCATATGGTTTGACAAACCTTCACTTGGGGGATAGGATAAGAATTGGTTATTGGATTTGGCTTGGCTATCCTGAAATTGATGTGTGCTGTCAGACTCTGAACAGCACACTTCTGCACGATATACGGAACATAAAATATAGGTTTAGTAGGCCTGGTTTGCTATTGCATCTCATCAACATTATAAACGTACAGCAGGGCAAAGCCAAACACAGTTGAATCAGCCTCTTTGCACCCCATGGAAATACCTTACTTCTTTGCAAAATCTTTCCACAGAAAGCTTTCTACATGATACCACCATATTTCTCCTTACTGGCACTCTTTAACCCTTTCTTCTGTGACCAATATCCAGTAACAGAGGTATTCTTTGATAACATTGGCCATTGTAGTATATTTTTCCCTTCTTTCTTTTTCTTCTGTTTTTCAAGGGTTTGGATTTGTGTCTGTGTGGGGGTTTTTTGTTGTTGTTGTTGTTGTTTTTAAATCCACCCTGAAAACAATTTCAGCTCATTCAGTGGAGTCACTGTAATTTTTGCTCAGTGCTTTAAGGTTCGTCCTTCTCTCCCAGCATTTTCCATCTAGGAAGCTAGGATCTGAGATCCCTCCTGTGTTTCATTTAGTCAGCCTTTCTGATTAGCTCACCACTGCCTGTGTGTGAGGGAGCAAATGAAAATGAGCATGAGTTTCATGATTACTACTTACCTAACAAGACTGGTTTTCAAATCTTCCTTAAGAACAACAGATTAGGCTCAGTGAAAACATTTTTTTCTTGTAAACTTCTCTACAGACACTGAGAAAAAGAGCAAACAAGCCAGAAAGCCTTGGGGGAAAATGTATCAGGAACATAGATTTTCTGTTAGGAGAGTTTTTAGGTGACAGGCAACCTGGGCTTGTTGAGATATTTCTGAGACAGGCAGGCAGCTTGCTGAGTCAGTGCTCATTCAGTGTCCTTCAAGAATGAATTAAAAGCCATGAAGAATATGCTTTGCTTCCTCAGTAGGATTTTGGTGGGGGTTTTTTTTTTCCCAAAACTGTTTTGAGCAGCTTTGGCTAGAGGAAATGGAGACAACTGCCATTATCACATAAAAGCAAGACCACTTCCTCCAGGACAAAAGCCACAGGTATATGGGTCAAAACGGCAGCTGGAAGTCTTTTCAAACATGTGAGCTTTTAATAGGCAGACTCAGAATAATTGCAGAAGGTTTGTACCAGACCACCTGGAAGCAAGCTTCAGCTGTTTACCAGTAAGGATAAAGCACCTCTGCCTAACCTTTCTTGTTACAGGAATTTTACACAGCTTGATTTAATCCAGGCTGAGATAACAAGCCTCATATATGAGGTTCTCAGGAGACTTCATTCAGCTGATTTTCCAAATGAGGTCTGTACTTTTAATATTGTTGTAAATGTACATTAATTACTTAGGAACCTTATATGTATTTGTTAAAGCTGGTTGTCACAGCAGTTGTTGCCGTGCTACGTGGTCTGTTTTGCATTTAGCTTTTTGGTATGGTAATATTACAAAATCGCATACTCACTGTGGGACAAAAGAAACAACCCGGCAAGCCTCTTTCTTCCTAATATGGTGAAATAAAAAGCCTTGGTTTGAGCTAGCTGAAGTGCTGATGGAGTCAAAGCTCAAGGATCATTCTGGTGTGGTGCACGAAGAGCACAAGGATCATGGTCAAGATTCACACTGGGAGGGCAGGAAATGTTTAAATTCCCTGACCATGACTAAATGGTGGGAGCTGGTGATGCTATCAGGGAAAAAGTCCTCTTCTCATCCCAGCATGTGTTTGATTCCAGACCAGCAAGAGCATTCCTTCCTATGATTGCTAGTGTGGGAGCTCTGGCTGTGCTATATAGCAGATTTAGGGACTTATTTTTCACAGAAGTGTGTACTAAGCAGGGATATGAATTGCTCACTGGGCAGCAGTGTGGTGGTCTCAGGCAGACCACCGAGCTAAAGAGGAGGCTGGTGATGGACAGGCTGTGGCAGGAGGACGGGCACCCACTGCACACCTGACACCAAGCTTTGGCGTCTCTCTCCGCTTGTACAGTGCCCAGTGAAAAGGGGCCCCAAATGCCTTTAGAGCACCAGGAAGTTTTGCTTTTTTCCTCATTTGTGTTAACTATCGCATTTTAGACAAAAAAGCACAGCTTTTCACAGCAGTAAGCAATTGGCCGGCGGGAGCTGTTTCCCCCATCCCCACCAGCTCCCAGCTGAAGAAATGAGGTTTTTCTGGCTGCTTCTGCTGGTTAAAACCTCTGCTCAGAGACACTTGGTACAGTATTAACTCATGATATTGAAGTCCTGTGAGACTTGGGGTTTTTTTTCCTTGCTGATGCTGATGCAAGGAAGAGAGGTAAGTGAATCCATAAAACAACAGAAGCTGACACATCCAGATACATAATTCCAGTAATTATGATTTATCAGGTACCCCAATCATCTGAGGCTTTGCAAACAAAAGCCAACTGAAAGGCTCACGTCTCCCTAGAGGGAGAGCTACGTGGAAACCACTCAAATAGCTTTAACCACAATTGTGTCACAAATTCTGATCAGATTTGGTGACTGTGGCTTGTTCTAATTAAAACAATAACAGCTTCAGAGCTATGTTTAAACACAAACAATTATTTGCTGTTTATGAGGAAAAAAAGGATAGAAACACTTGAAGATAGCACTTCTTTTCCTGGAGGACATGTGTCTCCACAGCACCGTAGTACATTTTCTTCTGCTGAAATATTGTCACCCATCAGAAAGCTTTGCTTCCCAGCAGCTGGCCAAGAGCACATGGGCAAGTTTGGCAGCTGAATCATCCGTATTACACCTCCCTGTGTTCAAAAAGAGGAAAAGGCCCGAGCTTTGCCTTTTTAAAGCACTGATAATGTCCACAGCCGGATTTGTTGTACTCCATTGTTTCCACCACAGCTCCACAACCTGGGACTCAGACCTAACCCAGAAGGAATTGCCTGGGACCACCCAGATGAAGCAAGGAGGCTCCAGGAGCCTCAAGGAAGGAGCCAGCCCTTTGCTGGTGAGGGAGGAGGCAGCAGAGGCAGCAGCACAAAGGGGGAGAAGCATGTCCAGTTGGCTTTATTAAACAATATATTTTTTATACATCCATTACGAAAACTTTGACAAGGAGGGAAATACTGAAAAGGAAGTATCTTTTTTTTTAGTGGAATAAAAGTGATGCCTGGGGTTTTAAACAAAGGCCTGTTGGCAGGATGATGCCATAAAGAAAAGGAAGAGAAGGGGAAACTGCATTTAAATTAATTCAGACAACTGAAGGCCAGAAGACCTTATGATAGAATTTTCCATTCATTCCTGTAGTCTGGCTCTCTGACATAATTGTGTTACCTCCTGACTCCTTTGTACAAATATTGTTGTGGTTATTATTACTGTTTACTGTAACTACTGTAATTACACTTACAAAAGCTGCTTACAGTATTGCAGCCATAATAATGCAAAAGAGCAAAGTCAGACAAGACTTTCATGGTGGGTGTTTTATAAGATTTTGAATGGACTTGTATAACTGTCTTCAGCTGCAAGAATTTACAGTGGGAAAAGACAAGAACAAAGGACTAAGGAACAAACTCCTTGGTTTTGATTCAATCACTGTGTTGAATCGTCACTTGAAATTTGATTTTTAGTGAATCGTAATTGTTTTTGAGCCTGTGATCAAAACCTTCTGGTTGGCCTAAAATATACTATTTCATTTGAAAGACAAATTTTGTTAAGATTTCTTTTATTTTAATTTAATTTAAGAAAAAATGAATTATTTTTAAAAGGGTTTTCAAATAAAAAGGTAATTATACTTCTGAATTAAAATATTTCAAGTTTTTCATTATTTTCTGGAGCCAAGATGAGCTTGTAAAATATTTCAATGTTCCCAAGTCTGAATATTTTTCCCCAAAGAAGTTTGCACTGAAGCATTTCAGCCAGTAAGCAAAACAGGAAGGGATAGAAAGAGAAACTGAGGCACAAAGAAGTTAAAGTACTTTTCCAGTGTCTCATTAGATGGATATCAGTGTTAGAAATAGAAATTGCATCTCCTGAGGTCCCCTCTAGGGTGTAAAACACTAAAGACATTAAAGAGAGAAAATAGTAGATGCAAAATAAATTTCCAGCCATAACTGTTATGAAGACCACCAGAACTGTACATTTTGCCTCCAACATCTTGTTCCCTGCTCCCTGGTACAGTCACAGGTGAAGCCCTAGTTGTGTGCTCTGTCTGCATGGTACAAGTTAGCATGATAGAAAGAAATTTTTATTTTCATCACCATCTCTTTTCAGAAAGTCTCTCCCTCGTTGTCGAAGAATTAACAGGATGCTTTCCAATGAGTCGGCACCTCCTCCTGCATTCAGTCGCTCCAACTCGCAGGCCTCCATGGACAGCACCTCCATGGAAGACTTCTGGTGCGAAGTGGAGAGCATCAAGGAGAGCAGTGAAGATGGATCTGAAGAAGCAACGCTCTTGGAGTTCAAACCTGCTGACGGTAAGCACACAAACACCACTTCTTCCTCACACTTTGGCTTTGCCTCAGCTCTTTAGTCATGCCCTGATCTCCCTCCTTGTGTCACTCAGTATGAGCAAAAGTACTAGGCTAGGTCTATGATCATTGTAGCTCCAATTCTGAACATCACAGTCAATGTACGAGACATCACTGGAAAGAAACAATCATTCAGTCTGATTTATGCACTGGGGCTGGTAATTTACTTCTGAAGTAATTTTTTTTGCATTGATTTTATTTGTGCTTCAGGAGGACAGATATGGTGTAATTCAGAAAAGAGAAGGACTAAATGAAAACTTCATCTCCAGCATTAAACAAACTAAACCAAAACGTATAAAAGAACCAAAAAGTTCATTTAGTATACTGGAATTTTCAATTTTCTGGCTTTTGACAGGATATAACACAGACATTATGAAAGTCTTGAATCAGTTTTTATGTAGATATCATTTGGTGCTGTCAGAAATTTGATAACTGCCTGTTTCTCTGAGATTGCCTGATTTAGATATAATTCAAGGAGACACTAGAGATAAGTCTGACTATATAGATGCCTACATCATTCAGACCTGCCAGTTGACAAAATTCATTCATCACTTCTACAAATTATGCTGCAGGTATTAATACCTCATTCTTTTATGTTTTCCCCTCTCCTTTTTCGTAATGTATTTGGAAAAACATGTAGTAGCCTGCACTAGCTTGTTGCAATGCAGCTTTGTGTTAGATGATTTGATAACATCCAGGACAGCAGTTCTCATTTTTTTCCAGTTATGACCCCACTTAGAAATGCATTAAATTGTGCAACACAAAATACCAGGTGTTACTATAGGATCACACCAAATTTCTTTTGAGGTCATGACCCACTGATAACTGCTGCAACCCTTTTGTGGATCATGGCCACTAGTCTGGTAACTACTGATCTAGGGATAGATTTTGAAACAATGGTGTGTTCTTTCCATACAATTATTAACATGAGTGAGTATGTATTTTTCTTACCTTGCCATGCAATGGGATATCATTAATTTTGCTACCAGGAAAAAGGGGGAAAAGGGTGAAAAAGTACTACGTTATTAAGCAACCAAATATGTAATCAGTCATGATAAGTATCCCACACAGAAGTATCTAGCTCCAATCATGTACCGTTTCCATGGGGATCATCTTCCACTCACTAGTTCCCAGTAGGGCTCTCGTGGAAGCAAAAGGAGAAGACCTCTGTTCACGAGAAGTCTCGGTCTTCTATGAGGGTTATGGTCTGGCAGCTTAAACACCAACTGCACTTCTTTGTACTGGCCTGTGGTCTCAAATAAAAATAGATCAGGATGTAGCAGTTTATGCTTATTGTAATGGGAAGGCAGAAAAGCAATCATCTGCCTCAATCAGTTTGACCTTATAGGGAAAATTCCTGTCTGATCATGCTGTCTAGCTTGGAGACCCCAGAGATTTTGAACTTCTCGGTGTCTCCATGCAATTGTCAGCATGAACTGGGTGTCCCTGACTTGTCTGCACGGTCAGAAAAATATTGCATATCTGTGAGTTACCAAGCTGAGTAAGTTAGTAGGACAAGGGAATACAGGAGCCCATTTTCCATGTTCTCAGAAACTTTTCCATCAGTTTCACCACTGCTGAGCTAAATCATCACAACAGCGCAAACTCTGCTGCAGTCCCATGTTACCCTTTGTCTGATTACACCTCATTACATTCCATTGATTTCTTCCCCTCAGTCCTGAATTAAAAATGAGACTGCAAGGTAAAATGCAATACATCACCACACTTCATTTACCTTCATACTGTTGTTTTAAACACATATATATTGCATACACCCACACAAAACCAGGCAGTGCTTGTCCTAGTTATTAACTTCAGGAATATATTCAGTCTGGGATTATAAATCTTGGAAATAATAGTGAGTTCTATTAAGCTCTTAATAGGATAATACTCCTTGCCAAGGATCAAAACATTGAAAATCAATGTGGAAGTCCTCACAGCAAAATAAAAAACAAATATTCATCAGCCTTTTGAGATGTCTTTGGGAGCAAGAGATGCAGAATCCTTAAGAAGGAAGCCAAAGGGTTATAGCAGCCAGGCACTACTGATACTGTCGAAGCCACGATGCTATTTTTTACCAGACCACATGTGCAAGGGGAAGACATCAGCACATTTACTCTGTTGACGTTAGTAACTATGGTCAAGAAAGAACAGAAGATCATATCAAGTGATACAAGGGATGAAAATGTAGGGGAAGAGGAAGTCATGGGCTATTTAAGATGGCAGTGATGTGCAGAACTACTTTAAAGCTTGGTGTTACAAGGTGTGGATGCTGTGAGTTATTTGAGGTTATATCTGAAATTCAAAGAAAGGCACACCTCTCTCCTAGCAATCTCTATGAAAAAAAGAGAATTACCAGCCAGAGGGAACCCTCTCGATTATCTGTCTTCTGGTAGAGCAGAATCAAACACAGTATCAAGACCCTGCTGTATAAATAGCTACCACTATAAAAATAATGTTTTGTAGAACAACATGGGTTTTTTTAGCCCTTTTTTAAACCTATGTGTCATAAAATTTTGAGGGTTTTTTAATGCAGAAATTCCTTCTCTTTAATAGTTTTACTCCTCTGGTTGTGGTCATTATTTTTTAGTCTATTGTTTGTGAGTGGTTGGAACAGGAAAAGAGCAAAAGCCAGAGAAAACAAGTCACAGGGGTGGCTGGTAAGCAGGCAGAATTTCATGTCTGCTTTACTATTTTTCATAGCATCATGAAAGCCAAGTTTGATTAAAAACTAAATTCTTGGAAAGAATATGTCAGGAGAAAAGCCAAAATTAATATAATTAAGAAACTGAAATGTGAATGGATGTGGCTAGAACAGCAGCACACAGAAATGAAAAGAGACCTTGTTAGAAAGAAGAGCGAGGACAGCAGAAGAACCATTGGTTCAAAGCTTACAAAGAAGGGAAAGGAACAGCCTGTCGTCCTATCATGGATACAGACAGGATCGGAGTGGGGACCAGCTGTTTCATGGGATGCAGGGCTGGTCACACCCCTGTCTAACACAGAGCAGAGGTTTTAGAAGCAAGTATTTTTGTAGAACTTTGTAAAGAGACAAGGCGGTTAACAATGAAGTCAGTGATGGCGCATGTGTAAGATGCTTTCACTTGTCCCTCTGGTCCAGTCCTGTAATTTTCTTTTTTGTGTATCTAACTGCCAAAGTGCAGCAAACCAGTATCTGTTAATCTGCCTGCATTCTGATGTCAAGAAGAGGCAATAAATGGAGAGTGGAAATACCAACCTGTCATTAAGACCAGTGCTGGGAGAACAATAAGTGCATTGACTAGTTGTTTTATAGAACATGCTGCAAATTAATCCATTTCCTGTTTGACATGTTTATTTTAAACACCTCTTCTTCAGTCAAAGCTGGAGTGCGATACTCTCTTGTCTCAAGCAGCATATTGCTGAGCTAGGATTGTTCACAGAACTAAAATGAAGGCCCTCAAAATCTCCTATGTGAAGAGAGATTTTAAAAGACTATGACCGTTTACTTTAAAAAGCAGGCAGAAAAATGATGACAGCAAAATTTAAAATTACTAAATTATTTAGAGAAGGTAGTTTGGGAGCTTCTCCCTGTCCTGCAGTGACAGGGGATATTCGTTTAATGTAACAGGTAGCAAGCTGAAACCTTCTATTGACTTTGCATGGCAAGGTGTTTTTTGGGGGGGGGGGGGGCTGCAGGTGTGGCTCTGTGAGAAGATGCCAGAACCTTCCCCCATGTCTGACAGAACCAGGAAAGAAAATGCTTTTTCACACAGTGCATAATCTCACTATGGAACCAGCTGCAGTGTTGAACCAGTTGAGAAACAGATATTGAACAGGATTCAAGAAGATGTTAGTCACTGATCAAGATATCAAGAAACGGTGGTGTGTAGAGTACTAGCCAGCCTTTAATTATTAGAAATCAAGATGATACCTAGCATGCAAGGATAGCTATTTCTGCATCTTCCACCCTTACCTGACTTCTTTGATACCTACTCCTACCTGACCCTTGCTCTTTAGTGAGCAGCTCTGGCTCTTAATTTTTTGTTCAAAACAGGCTATTGGACTAGGTGCACATCATGCTTCTCTCAGTATGGCATCTTCACTAGGTGTCTGATTATCTAGATTGGAAGTGAAGTCTTCTCCAGGTAAAGGCTAAGGCAGCGGTCCACCATGCCACCTCCCGTCCTTCAGCTCCCTCTCCCTCCCTTGCCAGGCCTGGTAACACGTTCTCTTCCTCTGCAGAAGGTGAGCTGGAGGCAGAATGGCTGCAAGATGTAGGCTTATCTACGTTGATCTCCGGAGCTGAAGAGGAGGATGGCCAAGCCCTGCTGTCCACTCTGACACGAACTCAAGCTGCCGCCGTACAGAAGAGGTACAACACCTACACTCAGACTCTGAGGAAGAAGAACAAGCACACAGTCCGGGATGTGCGAGACATCTTTGGCACCAATGACTCTGCTGTAAGTAGCTAATACATCCTAGAGAATGCTTTTGAGCTTAATTTTTATGCATTTTGCAAGTAACTCATTGAAGCTTCTACCAGACAGGAACCCCTTTTTGCTGACAATGTACAGCCAGCCAGTAGCAGTTCCTGACACTAAGCTCAGACTTCTTATGCTGTATTTACTACATTTTGAGAGAAAAGAAATGAAATAAAATAGATGGTGCACAGTGTTGCAACTAACCTATAACATAATGTCATATCTGTTGCCAGCCTTGCTCCTGCAATCTCCTATCAAGACTAACATTCACTCCTTTATTTTTTGGGAAATTGGTGAGTTACTCTTGGCAGCTATTCAGATTTTTGTTGGCTTCTGGGGACACTTGTTATTTACTCAGCAGTCTCAGCAGTGAAGTAAAACTTCTCTAATGAAGCAACTGGGGTTCAAATATGCATAAGCAGTTAAACACCTGCCAGCATGATTGCAACTGGTACACTGGCAGTTACATTTCACTTACACAGCGAATGAAAATCTATTAATTGTTCATTTGCTTCATGGCTTCAGAAATGAGCATTACCTCTGGTGGTTTCATCCACTGTTCCCTGAGGATAGCTCTGAATGCACCAATTCCTATCCCTACACATTTTGATTGCGGTGAATGCAGTCAACTGTGTGAGTTTAGTCTAACGCTCAAAGCAACATGCATGACTTTACATATGTCACTCATGATATCTTAAATGGGAGTTGCCAATAAGCTCAAAAGCTTACCTTTGAAATTAATATTAAAGTCCTTGCCATTACAGAACTCCAAGAAACTATTTTTCATTACGAAATTGCTTTGTCCTTTTCTATTTGTCCTACCTTTTCCTTAAGGCTTGGCATCCTGGATGAATTTAAAACAAAAAATTGGGAAACAAAATTGTAGCTGCATAGTTGTATTAAAATTACAAAGATGTAATGGTTGGGGAGTTAACTTGTCTCCAGTTTAAGTATCTGGGCTCTTTTGAACCTCCTGCACATATCGCACAAATATATCCAGAAGCATCCAGTAGTTTCCTGTGGGCAGACTTTCTTGCATGAGAAATCATCGGACATACTTACACAAACATTAAAAATCTTATGGCTCGTCTTATTAGATTAGCACACTTCCCCTGATTCAAGTGTCTGTAAACCTTTATGTGTTTAAAATCTTAAAAAATTATAATAAAGCTTAAGTTTCCTAATAAATTTAAATCAGCCAAATAAATGTTGTACCCATTCTCTCAGATGGGCACATTATTGATCTGGTTTTGACCTGCTTATTTTTCACCTCTGTTTCTCACTTGCTAAAGGAATCAGGAACTTCAGAGCCATTGCCCTTCAAATCACTGTTTTACCTCCACTAAAATTCAGCTCACTTACTAGTTCTGCATGGTGAAATTCTGAAAGATAAGACCAAATAGGTAATTAGGACCTCTAATTCTTCTTCCCACAAAAATATGCAGTTCTGCAGGGTGCTTACCTAAATGTTAATCTCGGATGCACAAATACAGCTGCAGAGCACACCATCACATCCCTCCAATGGACTGTGAAAGAGAATGTATTTCTAAAAGCCTGCAAGATTCCCAACACCCTTTTGGCATTCCCATTGACCATTGCTCCTATCTCTGCTGCTTATTATGGGATTTAGAAACTTTATCCTAATTACCAGCTTCTCAGGGCTAAACATACTGCAGGGGGACTTGTGCCCTGACCTGAGGGTTTCCCTAGCAGTCATTTGTAAGGGGGTATCAGCTGAAGCAGTCCATCACACTCAGCTGCCTTTTGGGGCATGGCACTACAGCTGTCGATGAATCTTTCTGATGAATCAGTTTGGCAAAGTGATCTGCATTAAAAACAACCCAGCCAAAAAAGAAGATCAACAGGGGACAGGGAAGGGCAAATCTTTTCAGCACAGCTGCTGAAGAGAGGCTGGTAAAAAGACTGCTTGAAATGATATGCAGGAGTTTTGCTTTCCCACCCTGCTATTTAGCTGGGAAGGGAAGAAGTAAACATGTTGCAAACAGCAAAACAGCTCTAATTGTTTCACATAAGTCTATAATCCTCCCCATTAGCAGGATGGATTTACCCTTCTTCCCAACAACCTAAGCATTGCAGGAGCCTAGAGGGATGGGTCACAGGATGGATTACTCTCTTCTGTGGCTAATGATGACAGAAAAGGTGATTAGCTCACTAGGGTCACCTGAGATGAGATTTAGGGGACACTGAAGAGGCATAAATAGTTGTGATCTGAGGTGGGGGAAGAGAGATTTGCCCTAGTTTCTTCTCTCTGTTCTGAAAAAAACTGCTTGATAGATGTTTTGCTATTACTGCCTGCTGGCTAGCCTCTCTGTGGGTCAACATAGAGCAAACGGTGCTTTTTCCCTTATTCTGCCTTGAGGTCCATCCCCTCACTGCAGGAGTGTTCCCTCAACAGCTCAAGTAGACTGAAATAAAAGGAAATTAAGCCATATTTCCTTTTTTTTATTTGGTGGTGTTTGTTGGGGTTTTTTCCCTGTTGCCCACCTTGGAAAGGTGCTATGATCCCTGGGGGCAAAATGCAGCATGTGCAGTACCTCGCCCCTCTGAGAGTGATGCCTTGGCAGAGCAGCCTGCCCCAGCTGAGGTATCTCTGCTCTGCTTCAGACAGGCTCAACTGATAGCCACACTACCAAGATTTAAATTGGATGGTTTATTAATCACAGTGGCCTGATTTTCCTTACTGCTGGTACCCTGCTGCTTCCATCAGAAGCTATTGGCTCTGCTAGTGCTCAAAGCCTAGAAAAATCAACAGCAGAATACAAATGAGGGGGGGAACATTGATTTTGTTATTGGAGGGAGGAAATGAAGTATCATGCTCATTAACAGCCCAACCCTGTACGTTGTGATCAGCTAAAAGTCTGCAAGAGTTTTAGGAGCATTTTACTTGAGCAATGCATGAGAAAATCATGTCCTAATTAAAGAAGAATCACTAACTAACCTACAGCTATTTGCATGAAAAGGCATTTGTGATGACAGTGCTTAGAAATATTAATATATCCAAAGCATGGGCAACTTGTGTCCTGGGAAGAGATATAAGGCTATCCTCCTTTGCCTTTATTTCCCTTGGCTGCAGGGCTGAAAATAGATTTTGTTCGCTTTGGTGCTCCAGTAATTTGTTTTTACATCTTCTACAATGTGGGTAGCTGCTAAAGAACTATCATCTACCTCATCTCCATCTTTTCCTTGCTTTTCTGGTTTCCTCTTCCTATTGGAAACTCCTGTGTACATTGTGCCAGTAAACACTGGGCTCATTTTTAGTATCGAATAATGAGAACCATCTAATGAATCACTTTCAGTCAGAAATCAGGATATAAGAAGTCTTGCCTTCGCTGGAGCACCAGCCATTTACTAAAGAAATAATCTGGATCTTTAAAATTCATGCATTAAAAAGGTTTTATTCCCAGTCTTCCCTTTCTTTTTTTCATATTATCCTAAGATTTAAAAAAAAAAGGGGGGGGGGGATGTTCATCCTGTTTAGAAGAGACTTTCACAAAAGAGACATAGATTTGGCTTCTTTATACACTCTCACTGTGGAGGCTGGGAAATGAGACCAAGAATATGACATTTTTAGTTAGCCCTGATATTGTACACCTCACGTTATTCAATTGCCACAAGCTACAGCAGCCTGCAGGCTGTTGCAAGCACTGCTGGGTGCGAAGCAGAGTTGTGGTGTCAGCTTCCCTCTGCTAGCTCCACTGTGCTTAGCCAAACCTGGTTACTGCAGCTGCTTCACTATTGATTTCACCTATGTAATAAGGCTGGAAGGATTTTTTTTTTTTCTTAATAAACTTGATTCACTGTAAGTCTATTCTGAATACTGTTCTCAGGGTCAGACATTTTGAGCAGTGAAAGTAGATGAGCCATTTGATAATGTTTACCATTAATTTCTCCATCTGGATCTTAAGCAGCAGAGTAACTACTTTTATGTTTGATTTTCCCAAATTGCTGAGGCAAGTTTAACTATCCCCTCCACTTCCATTCTCCCACCTGAAATTTATAACGCTTTTTTATGTCCTAACACCTTTTGTGTAAATGTTATGGGATTTTATCATAAAAGCATCCTACAGTTCTCCTTTTAGAAAAAAATCAATGGTCCTTACAGTCTTCTGGCAAAGGAAGTCCATGTGACTCAAATCCTGTTTGCTACCAAGTTTGCGGGCCATTGAGTGGACTCTCTCAGGAGAGATTTTTATTCATGTTACATTTGACTTTGTTACCCAAATTTCTCAGAGCATAAGACTGAATAAAACAACTGCAAGATTATTTCAGGCTTCCAGTTGGAAGAGCTGCCTCTCTTTTAAATATCTGACATTTTTTAGCAGTCTGAGTGCTGCTCCTGTGCATTGGCTACAAATGGGGAAGAAAAAAATTTCTGCCCTGAGGCATTGCTGCCTGTTGATAAATAACTGATTTAGTAACTTAAAGAGCTGCTGTTGTAGGATCGTCGGGGCCCTCAGCTGCAGGTTCAGCTGGAAAGCTGGGGCTGCTCCATCAGGCTCAAGGGGGGTGACACAACAGGTTTGAGAAAGGGGGGGCTCCAAGGGCTCTCAGCAGGGTGAAAAGGACAGCAGAAAAAATGCCAGACTTGTTTGGGACATTGTAGTTATTTTTGCTGAGTACCCTTCAGAGCATTTTTTAAATTCCTGACTCTTTTCTTACCCAACAACATGCAGATGAGCTGCTACTGCCCTGTGTACACACAAACACTCAGATTTGTCTTTATGAGTCCCAAAACTGCTGAGAACAGGGGCAAAACTCCACTGCCAAGAAGAGGCGACAGTGCTTGAAAGTCACCCCCTGGGTTTCCAAGGCCCTTCTCTGCTGTACACACACTTCCCCCATTTTTAGACAGTTCAGAATGATTTCTGGAGCGGAAAGAATTGAATCTGAATATAGAAAAGGTCTTTTTTTTCCCTAAAACTGTTTTTGCAGTTCAGATAAAGTGTTAGTGTATAACCTATGGGAGGACATCTGTCCATTAATAATTTGCTGGTGCCCAAATCCTGAAAGGCAATGAACAGCCTGATTTCTGACAGGGGCTTGGGAGCTGTGGATATTCAACATGTGTCAGAGAGTCCTCAGAAAGATTTGTGGCCAAAATGATTAAAAGCAGGGTGGATTACAATTTGACGAAGACCTTTCGCTTAGTACAATTATGTATAGCAATTTACTTAGCTAATTTCAGTCATCATAGAGGACAGGACTCATTAGCTACAGTGAGCTGCAATATTACTGACCTCGACATGATCCAAATCTGTGCAGCCCGGGGGAGATTAATTCTCAGTCTTGGCTATGAAAAATGTACTTTGGCGAATCACAACAGGTTGTTTAAACTTGGCAAAAGAGTGTAAGCAGAGAATGATACGCTGTTGCTTGAACTGTAGCAGTTTCTGTCCATAGACGTTTACCTTCACTGCAGTCTGATCATTTTTCCTTGCCTATCAGCCCACATTTGAGACAGTTCCAGTGTCACCAGTTCCTTCTAATGGTATCCAGCTTCCTGGGCAGAAGCCAGTTTGGAAATCAGTTAGCTGTGAGTATGCCAACATGTAACCAGTGTTCACTTCCTCCTAGGAAAATGATAGACAGATCCTTTTGTGGTTCAGAGGTTAGTCCCCTCTTTCATGTTGGGGCCATGCTGCATATATTTCCTTAAAATCATTGTCAGCTTATTGTCATGCAGGAACCAAAGTTTCCCATTCAAGACCGGTGTTGTACAGACACAGACTGCTGCCCTTGAGGCATCAGTATCTAAAAAGTACTGATCGTTGCAAGGCTGGGAATGTAAAAATAACTTCTAAACAATACGGTGCAGAATTTGTCCAAAATATGTCAGCAGTGTATTTTCTTGTTGCAAATCATGACAAGAAAGATGCATATTTCCTTCACATTTCTTCTCCAGTACTGCAGAAACTGTAGTATTAGAAATTTATCATTTTTCTGGTTCTGCCCTAGTATTCTGATCTACTAATGGTGTTGTTTTGGCCATCCCTTAAACACTTTTCCCTGACAGTGACTGGCAGCACCAATGAAAATGATAGCTCTGCTCTACTCAGTGTCTGGATACCTGTCAGCAGCCTTCCATGGGAATGTCCATCTTTTATTTTGAAAGCTCTTCCCACCACCATTGTTCAGGGCTTAAGTAAAGGGATATTAATACCCAAGTTTCTAAATTAGTCCCTTAGATGTTTACCTCTGGATATAGTGCCACAGACATTTTCCTTGGTTGCAAAAGCTGCTCTGCTGATACCTCTGCTCTGTAAGCAGTTGTACTAGAACAGATGGGGAACCAAATGGCCAGGGGTACCATGGACAGTCTGCGGTCCCAAGTCCAAGAGTGGAAAGAGAGATGGAAAACATCCTAAATAGCTTGGCCATTGTGTAACATCTAAGGCCACAGTTTAGAAGCCAGAAGCCACTTAATAACACACACAGCTTTTTCATACCAGACTTGCAAAACAAAGGGTATTGCAAAAAATGTTTAAGTCCCTGTATCTGTAAATGCAATGATTCAAAAATCATGGGGCATGCACATGTTTATAAAACATGTAATGCTTTTTAATTCACTTTCTGATTTCCATGGCTTTTGAATGCACTTGGGTCATGTTAGTAAGCTCTTCTCTGCAGTCCTGGGGGCTGAAATTTTACTTCACTTCCAATGAAAATTACGATTCTGTTCCAATTGCGTGAGTCTAGGAGCTGGACCTTAAGGGAAACCTACAAATTGTCCTGAGATGTGAGAGATCAGTTATGAAAGTCTGCAACACTGGAACTCATGTATGTTATCACACTTTGGACTCCATGACAATAGGATATTTCTGTACTTGATTGTACTGATTTCAAAAATTTTCCTCTGGCATCCAATAATTTCAGGAGGTGACTAAATTTTAGAGTAGAGCAATAAGTCATTTCACAATATCTACCAGAAATTACAGTAGATATAGTGTTTTTCAAACTGGAAGATTGTACACAGTGTCCTGTTTTGGTGCTACACACCTAAACCAGCAACTGTGAGAAATACATGTATGTGAGCATATAAAATATATATACAATGTCTTATGATTGTAAATAAGTCAACAGCAACCTGAGAAACTGTGTCAACAGCATTTTTCTGTCAGGAACTTTTCTTTTTAATTGGTCATTAGACAAGTGCCACCACTGTTTGCTGGCCTGGGTAGACAAAGATGAAGTACAAAAACGATAATTCCTGATAAACAGGAAGTTCCAGCTTGACTATCTTTCTCACGAAAAGCAACAAGTTAAATAATCTAAAATGAAAGTAGGGATTTTATTTCTAAGGGGTTATTTCCTCCAGACAAAACAGGAACATGCTGTGGTTTACACTGAAATTCCTCTTTGAAGCACTTCCTTTATTACTTTCTTGAGATTTTTGTCATCTTGGTTCAATTTTTTAATGTCTCTGTAGTAAGTGCAAGCATACATTCAGCATTCATATATAATTTCCCTTATTTTCAGCTAACAGCTGTCTAGACTGTGGACTAGATAAAGGCAGCCCATCCGTAACAGAAGAGCTCTCCTATGAGGTCTCTTTCTCAGAAGCCATTACAGTCCTTCCCAAAAGCCAAGAATGGCCGAAAAACCAGAGGTTCAAAAAGGAAGACTCTGCCTTGCCTGTAAGTTTGTTCTCGACATATTTCATCAATTGTTTAACACAGTGATTTCCTTTATATCCCCAGCACGTTGGAGTCTGTTAGGGTACATTAGCTGTCCTTTGCTATGTGTGCTTTATAGACACCACCCGTTGTGCCTGCCTACCACTTGTAACTGATTCCCAGAGAGGCACCAAAGCTAATCTGGGTATCCAAGCCTGGTTTTTACGTGTACCCATCACAGATGAATATGTGTAACTCAGTCCACAACTATTGCATCATCCACACATTTTTCACGTAGAAAGACCAGTTACTGGCACTAAAACTAGCAATCATTTTCATTATTGCTCTGCTTTCCTACTTTATTCCCCAAAGGATTATCTGCCTTTGTTAACACATGGGTTTAAAATTTCTTCGCAGATGAAGGGAGGAAAGCAAGCCTTAGTCCTGCAGCAGTACTGATTATCTCCAGTCAGTATTCAGTGCAATTATGCTATAGGAGATACTACATGAATGGTTAAAGGAAAGTTTGTCATATCATATCATCCAGCAAGACACACACTGAGCAGTTGTGTCATTATCTGGGATTATTTCTTGAAGTCAAGGAAGTCAGTTTTCTATTTCCATCAGCCCTCACAACTTCCATTACTGAAAACTGGAGCATTAGGTTTGTTCTTCAGATATCACCTTTTTAATGAAATGTATGAAATAGTTGTAAAGTATTTGGAAGCATTTCCTGAATGTTATGATGTCCTGAGGTCCTGAACTAATCCAAAATTGTTACTATCCACACAGACATTGAATTCTCTGAGAATTATCCATTTGTCCATCTCAGGCACCACCAAGGAAGAAGAACCTGAGATGCAGAAGTAAGCTTCCGTGTTGAAAGGAGGGATAAGACACCAAGTAGATTACAACTGGTGTGAAATCCCTGTGCTTTAGTGTGTCTGGGTTTTTTTTGTGGTGGGCATAACTTGGTGTCCTGTGGAGAGTAAGGATATCTCTGCATTCATCATGATTTTGGCAAACCAAAGGTTCATTCTTTCTCCTCGTAATAGCAAACCTAGGACCCCTTCACTACAACACACATACACATTGCAACAGCTGCAACAGTTGATAGAGCAGGGAAACTGGTGACAAACAGGGAAGAGAAGATGCCATATTGAATATAGTGGACATGTGGGTGCATAACTGATTAGTATTAGAAAAGGCCAGTATTGTGCTGGAGATGAACTATTCTGCCTGCAGGACATCATTTTGTGTGCTTGGAAGAGTATACAAGAAATATGCCAGGTCATCACATTCAGAGAGTTTCTGAATAAAGTCAACAATCGTAGCTATTGATGTTGGCATTTCTCTTACTTCATATGCTGCCACTCACAGTATTTTTTTTCCCATAATGGCTCAGACTGTAATGGGCCCCAGCAAAAAAGTCACCTCTTGCTCTGTTACACAAAGCAACCAGCCACCTACACTCTGAAGGACTGTCCCTCCTTTCTCAAGGTGGGCCGACAGGGCCAGACTGAAGTCTACACAACATCGTACTTGCTCCAGGGCAGGTCTGACACATTAATATAACCAACTTCATGAATGGCATATACTGAGCAGTGCAGAGAGATTTTATATCATAAAATAGTGTGTCCCCTGCAGCTCCCAGGAGAGCCAGCTCAGCATCACTGTCTGCATAGGGTTACATGCAATTACCCCAGTATAGGACCATGATCAATATGACTTAGTTGAAGATATTACAGAACTAATAGTCAGTAAGCATTTCAGACCCATCTTAATACACTGTATAGTTCCACATAGAAACATGTCACACAATATCAGACACAATCCTTAGCCAAAATGCTAGTAACCTAATTTCATGATAGCACAGCTTCCTTCGGTGCTGCATATTATGACTCCACTGTTTGTAAGAAAAATCGCTGGAAAATTGTGACACAAGACAGAAAAAAGAGGCCCAGCCCCAAACCTTGTGTTAACACTGCATCACACCATAGTGACCCTAGGAGTGAACCAGCCACCATGGAAACTCATTGTAGCTACGCTTTGTAACCAGTTTTGGAGTGTTTGTCATTTTTCCTTGGCAAACATACTTTTTCTCTTTCCCTTCAGAAAATATATGTATACTGTGTGATTTCTTCTTATTTTCAAGATCATTTATTTTGCTTTGACTGCTTTTGGACTTTTTGCATCACTGGAACCAAAATGCATAAATATTCTTTAGTATTTTATGTATCTTCAGAAGACTAACCTCTGTGCAGCTTTTGTTACATTATTAAGTCTCAGTGTTAAGAGTAACAGTGGAATTGCTGCATTCTGGGGAGGGAAGATTCTGGCTTAAAATGTCCCAGACAGCATGTAAATTAGTTATTCCATTCCCTGCACTCTGTCTCCCCCAGTTATGATTAACCCCTAAATCACATGTGCAGTGTGATTTAGAAAGTCCTAACCTACATGATCTAGATGTCCTTTGTCCTCTCTTACTCTTTTGAAATCTGGTGTAAGTATAATTCTTTTTTTGTTTGCTTTTTTCTTAACCTGTTTGACTGGCTTCATCTAAAGATGGGTTAAACCTATTGCATCCAAATTTTTTTAAAAAAGGGAGGACTGGGCTGAAATCTCCAGAAGCAAAACATTATTAAAGGCTGGGTTTCCACTCAGTTCCCTGAAGGGAGGAGATGATTTGTAATGCTATTTATTTATACCTCTGACTAACAATTACTGGTTTAAATTACAATTAAATTAAAAGAACATACAATACCAAAGATCCATGGTTCTTTGAAAAGTATGGTTTTTACTGTAACCTTGTTATTATGTCTAACAATTATGTAAAAAACTGATGGGTATTTGTTCTTTTTGACATTTGTACAAATGCTTCTGTCATGATGCAACATTCTTGGCTCTGGTCCATGACACTGCAGTTTCCAAAATATGTAGACATCTTCACATGCCCCCAAATTATTAAGTATCATTTATTAGCTGCTGGGACACAGACACACACACACACACACACACGTAGCTCATTTGTCCCAGCTGTAGTACAGGCACTAAGGTTAATACCTCTGCTCCAGCACCGCTTACCAGTCAAACTGCAAGGGAACATGACGAGCAAGAAGCTTAATTTTATGTTTCAGATAGATACAAGTTATGTCAACATACCAGGCCAATATATAGGGTTGTAGTTCAGCTCTTTGGTGTTATCCATCCACCCAAATATGACTTTCTATCAATCACATGCGGGCATCTCTTTCAAAACAAAAATTCACTTCCTGTAATTTTTGTGCAAATAAAGATGTGACCCATCTCTACTGTAGAAATTCATTGTTCGGAAAAGCCGGTTTGGACTGACAGAGGTTGGAGACCTCTCTGCTGAAGACATGAAGAAAATCCGCTACCTCTCCCTAATTGAGCTAACGGCCTTCTACGATGCACTGGGGGTGGAGCTGAAGAGGAACCGCGCAGAGAGGGTGCGGGGACGAGGTACCGTGCTGTGTCATCCCCATGGTGGCCACCTGGGCACCACTCAGTGTTGCGAAGAAGGTGCGTACAGCGCTGTGTTTCCTCTTTTTCACATTTGTTGTTATTATTTTTAAGAAAATGGTCTGTTTGGAGTGCCTCTCACCATACTGCTGGAGAATGATCAAAGGAAGGTTCCTGGAATAAAAGTTCCCCTCATCTTCCAAAAAGTGAGTATAACTAAGCCTGCTCAGCTACTAAGATTTGCTTTTCCATCATTTGCATTGACACTCAAAAGAGTCATCAACTAAAAAAAGATGCAGACTTTACAGACTTGAAGGTGTCAACAGGTCTTCTGTCTGTATGTTGTGGTTTGAAAACCTTGTGACAAGGAGACAAAATTTGCTGCTTTTCTGTGTTTTATCTGTGGTGGGGACCTCTTTTGATTTTTGTAATGATATGATACCATGCAGGAAACTTCGGGAAACAAATGTCTGGTTTTCTGTTTCCATTTCTCATTAAATTAGAGAGCCATGCAAAATTGCATGTGTGCAGCAGTGGCAAAGATGAGTTGTCTCAGGAGTTTTAATGTCACATAAATTCAAACTGTAGGTATTACTTAGCTATTATTTCCAGAATGGAAGTGGTATCTTCTCACTGAGGTTTGTATGACAAGACGTCATTTATATAAGTAATTTGACAGTACAATGACATCCAGCAGATATCTTGGTGACATGTACACAGACACAAGCACACGTGCAATTACACAGGTTTACATGGACTCTAAACTACAACAAATTTCCCTGTAAATTCCCTGACAAAAGGAGAAGTGGTGTGGAGTGTCAGGGGAAAGACTGACATGACTTGAATATCTACATGACTTTGCAATCATCTCCACAGATACCATGGGAAATTAGAAGGATCCAACAGCTAGAAGGAGGAAGCAGAGCTGGTGGTGAAAATCCAGATCTGTATGAATAAATGTTAAATCAAAACATATTTATTTTTTATAAAGAATTAGAGTGGAAAGCCTATTCCTCTATTCACAGAAATTTCAAAATAAAATATCCTGGGATCATTTTCTAATCTGAGTTCTCAGTTCCCAGAAAGGTATGTTATCTATAGACCTTTCCATTGTGCTCCCTGGGGAAAGACTTAAACATTTCTCAGAGGTTAATTTTCCCTCAAAACACCATTGTGTTTTACCCAGTGTATCTGCCCTTTTATTAATATGTTTATGTGTTAATTGTTCTATCGCAGTGCCAAGTCTCAAATCGAGGACAGAGGGGCCTATTGCATTATCAGTTTTCTGTACTCTGCATACTCCGTATTTCAGGGTCAGGAATATGGAGAACAAATTAGGAAGGTTTATTTACATGAGCTGGCTTGTTTTCATTAGCAAATTACACAGAAATGTATCTTTTTCAAATTAGTTTCAAGGATACCTAGATTTAAAAAGTTAATAGCATTTTTAAGTGCTTCTGAGTATTTTCCTGGGTTTTGCTGGTTTTTTTTCAGTTGCTGCTCAAGCTTGAGGAAACAGGTTTAGAAACTGAAGGAATTCTACGAGTGCCTGGATCTGCCTCCAGAGTCAAGGTACACGTTCGTGACAGTTTTCTGTCTCCTGGACCACAGACTCTGTAAAATAATACAGCATACACAAATTCACACTGCACATAAATACTGATGTGTGTAGTTCAGCATTTCTATTCCTACCAGTGAAAGGTCAGATTGGTTCCTGGGAACCAGTAAATCACAGAACATGTGGTCTATTGCTTTGCATTAGTTAATGTTCTATATAAAGCACAGACTTGAAGTTGAATGCAGTTTTCTCCACTAAACATTGAGGGAATCTTTCAGTTTATCTCTGTTGTCCAAAATTGCTGTGATCTTATCTCTGGTTTAATTTATTTCAGAAATCCAGAGTTGCTAAACTGAGGGAACTTCAGATAAAGATCTTATTCTATGTCATTTTAACATTTGTGTCATTTTATTTCTCGTTTGTCTTCTGTGATCTTACAATTTCATGTTCCAAGTGAGAGAAATTTGGCCTGTGTTCACTGTTTGGCAGGCTCAAGTACTACATTTTCACAGGCTATTTGCAGGCTATGGACACAGGATAGTTGGTACTCAATAACCTGACATCGTGGTGCAGTAATGCTTTAAGTTGTTTCTCCAGACTAACTTGATTCCAGCACCTGGAAGCCTGTGGCAGAGGCAAATTAGGAAAACAAGTTTTTTCTGGGCTTAGTAGTGTCTACCTCTTTCCCAGATTTTTCTTTTTTCTAGGGGTTTTTTTGGTCTGGTTTAAGCAACTTCTTATAGTGCATTCTACCCCCACTTAATCATCCTCAAGAAAGCTACTCTTGCTTTCTGAAGCAGGAAGTCTCAACACTGTGGCAGCCACACAAGTGTTGGGGATTGCTAAACATTGATGGGCTGGGGATCATCAAAAATGACTGTACAAGAAAAAGCAGCATGACATGAAACACACCAAAGACAGGCAGTAGTATCCCAGCTCCCTTTGACCCTGTGGACTGATAAAAGCACTCAGCACCTTACAAAGTGCCACATTTTGCAGAAGGGAGCTCCTAATTTGGCTTGTACTTTTCAGCTTCCTCATTTTTTCATACAAATACTTAAAGTATTATTTTACACAATCTCCATTTTTTCCAACCTCTCTGGGGAGATTACACAGCAAGGCTGTGCTCTAACTAGATTACTTTCATATTCTTTGCATATACTGTACTGTGCCTTGTTCACTTCTTATTCACAACCTATATCCAGGGAGCTACTATGAGATATGACTTTATACATAACTCTCCCATACTGGGTGATGCCCATATGAAAGTTTTAAATTATTTGAGTTTTGACTTCATTTAAGTGAGTCCAACAAGCCAACCAGCAAGAAAGAGATTTTTTTCAAAGCAGATCCAGATTTCATCCTTCAAAGCCTTCATATGTTATTATGACATTAGGATTTGAAGGCATTCCAAATTTATTTCAGTCTTGTTTGGAGAAAGAAAAGGCATATGGAAGTGATTAAAGTTACTCTTCTATAAAACAAAGAATAGAAGAAATAAATACAAGTTTTCCTCTGTAATCTGGTTTGTAACAAAAGCTCCAGTGAACCAAAAATGTATGATAGTCTACTGTAGGATCAGTCACATTTAAAAAAAAATTGCAAAAATGTTTTTTTAAAAGTACTTAGGTGCATACATATATGTATATGGGGGGGGGAGTGCATAAAATACACATATATGCTTGCCTGTGTGGATATATATATTAAATGTTTATGTTTCAAAAATCTTGCTTTCTATTTCTCTAAGGCTTTTTCCAATCAGCAGAAAAATGTGTAGTAGTTTTTCTGTCCTCTTGTGCTTTTGACGAGGTGAGGATTTCTGTTCTGCATTTCCCAGTCAGTTACCAGGAGAGAATTTAATCCAGGTGTTTGTATGGATTATGTGCAAAGGATATGAATACAGAGGAAGCTGAGATAGCCCAGATTACAACCAGTAAAATACACTAGTAAAAATGAGATTGTAACATTATATACCCAATCCTGAATGACTTTCTATTTCCTTTTGTGCCAACCATTCCAATTCATTATGTGTGACCATATTTGATATGTAATTTCCTTCCATTCATGTGAGACATGGTAAACAGAATTCATTTTTAAAAGCTTTTCTGTCTGAATGGACTAAACTTTTTTGCGTATATTAAAGTACTTTTGACAAAAATGTGATCTGAAACCTGAAAGTTAGCTACAGATAGATTTTCTCACAGATGGTCTCACAAAAAACAGCAACAAACTTCCTATGGATAAGGCAGTGTTTGGCCAGTAATAATTGTGAAAGCTGCATTATTTATGAATATCCTTTATTGCAATAGTGTCCTTCAAGCTTATTAATCCAACAAATTTTTGAGGCGCTTGCATTTTCCAAACAGTGATCTGGGTTTGAAGCCAAATTCTGTTCCTACTAGGAACCTTACTGAATATTTCCAATTCACATATGTGTGTGAAACATTGATTAGTTACCCTACAGAACTAAATAGACCTCTGTCAGCAAGATGCTGACACTGGAGAACAAGATGATTAAATGGGCACCCGAAATGGTATAAACAATTCTGTCTTAGATCTCTCTTGTGTTTTTGAGGCAGGGCAGGGGGGTTGCATGCATGAAGTAGAGGTTTTCTGACAGTAATGGTTTCATACTTTTATTTTTCTATGAAGTGTTCGAATCTAATTCTAGCTATCCTAAAAGAAAACATCCTTCTAAAGACAGGAAGACCTGAAGTTAAAGCCATTTGCTCAAGGCCCATGGGCTCGGATGCCAACAGACTAGCAAGTTCACTGGCAGTGAGGAAGAGATGTCACTCCTTTGTGACTTAAGGATCAAAAGCTCTTGAGAGTGTTTTAAACAAAGAGAACAGCTCTTGTCTTGCTTTAAAATGGTTCAAATGTGTCACTGGCAGAAATCTAGCTATAGCAAACCAAATTTAGCCTGGGTTGCAAAATATCCCCAGGAACCTGATTTGTTAACCTGTTCTGAACTTCACGCAGCTGTATCTAAACCACTACTGGTTTACAGCTACTTTAATTCAACTGCGGTGTAAACCTGCCTGTTGTTTGTAATGGGAGTTCTGAAGTGATCTCAAACTGCCGGGTCAGAAGCAATGATTAAAGGTCAGATGTTCCTTGTATCTTTCAGAATCTCCATCAAGAACTTGAAGCAAAATTTTATGAAGACACTTTTGACTGGGACCAAGTACGAAATAATGATGCAGCAGGACTGCTGAAAATGTTTGTAAGAGAACTCCCAAGCCCACTCTTCACAGTAGAATACCTGCCTGCTTTCATCACGCTAGTGGAAAGTATGTGGAAATGCAGTTAGTATCAACTGATCTAGATGAAATGGAATAGTAGACATTACATTTTTTTCTTTCTGAAGTAGAGAGAAAAAAAGGCCCAGTGCATTGCCTAAACATTTAAATTTTCTGCAACCTTTCCTTTTCAAATGGAAAAAAAGTCTCTGCATTTAGCTAATAGCATAGACTTGTTGTGTGAATGACACAACTGTTTAATGTAAGATTTGAAACCTGTGAGCAAATGATGGCTGAGCAATGACTTTCATATATAGACTCTGATTCACACAGACTATAGATTTCACAAATGAAAATTTCTGCAAGGTAAACTCAAGTGACTGCCTTTTAGCTGATACTCTATTGGATCTATTTTCTCTTAAGGTTTATGCTGAGATCAGAATATGCATACAAAGTTATGCATGATCACAGAAAGCTTCAGGCAGTCGGGTTTTGTTTTCAGTGTACATACACCCTCTCATTCTCAGTACATTTTGTTCATTTCTCTTCCAGGAAGAATGCAGTAGTACTTTGCCATACCTATTGACTTCATCATTGTGAATTCACTTGAGCTAGGACAGAGTGAAACTATCAGGATGGTGAATTTATTAGGCAAATTGGTACAGAAAACTTAGGACCTTTACATAAGGTTGCAGCCAAGTTTTCAGTGTCTCCATGAGGTAGTTTAAAGGGCACGAGGAGGTGACCCCTTCTTGTAACCTTCACATACCTGAGTGTGCTCCTTGTGAGTCCCAGACTGCATGCAGTTACAATCGCTTAGCATTTGGAGAAGACCGAGCAGGAGGTGTCTGCACAGAATAAAGTAACCTTATTCCCTACAACAGATACACTGTCCACAACTCACACAACTTTTTTTCTCCAAATCTCTCCCATCCACCCTGAGTGGAAGCAAATGACAGAGTTATTCTTCCCATCTTCTCCACCCCAGCTCTTCTAGTGAGCATTGCACAGTGTTAGTATGTATATACCAGTTGCTGAAAACATGATGGTATTTTGTAACTGACAAGGGGCTCTACATTTATCTAGAGTGCTAGATTTGGGACAAATACTTTTAAAGTTATAAGCAATCAATCTCCACTCCAATGGCACAAGCATTCAGCAAATTACTCAATAATATTAGTTTGAAAATTTTCTGAAAACAAATAATCCATTTCAGTTTGAAAGGAGGAAAATACCTGATCCATATTCACAATACATTCTGACCATGACATTGAAGAGAAACTAGCTAGCACTGAAAAATATTGGCTTCTTGCTATATAGACAATTTTATAGAGCCTTGTCTCCCCCTGTGACAAAGACCCAACATGATGAGGAAAAACCCACTCTTAAATTGATTTTATATTTGGAATCAACACCTAAACATGCTAGTCTCAACCAGGCAGTGGTTGCTGTGTTTCTAGAACTGCTGACCAACAAGGTTTTTAGAACAAGCCAATTACAACTGGGATTTCAAAAATATTAATTATTCATATTCTTAGAAATCTCCAAGATCAAGTTACAGCTACAAGCTTTGCATCTGTTGATCATGCTGCTGCCTGAAGCCAACAGAGACACAGCCAAGGTAAGTTCTCCATGTGCTATCACCTGCCATCTGTAGTGCTTTTGACTTTTAAATGAGACCTGGTTTGGGTTTTTTTTTCCTAACAGTCAGTTATCAGATACTGCACTGTGAAAGTATTCATCTGTGGTTTTTATCATTTCCATGAAAAGCTGTTCCAATTCCCTGGCTGTCATTTATTTTACAAGCAATTAAGAAATAGTTGCTGGAGGTATCCAACTGCTGGTGTTCGTAAATGGCTCCCAGGCATCATTTATTCTGGAGCATCTATTTCAAAGAGGCATGTTCCTCACATAGTTTGGAAAAAAAAGGTCCAGTTTCTGGGTTTTCTGTATAACTGGAACTCTCCAGGATGAAGTTAAACAAGAAGCTGCCCCCCAGGAGCTTGCCTAGTGTACACCCAGTGCTAAAGGGCTTCCAGGGCACTGGACCAGCCTGGAGGGGGTAGTCCAATGTAAAAACCCCTGAAACATATCTGTAGCACAGATATCAGGACCTCAGCTTCAGCTGATTTGCCTTACAAACCCATGCCCACACTCCTGTATTACTTCCTGATACAGACACGGTGGCTACAAGCATTATGGGTGCTTAGGAGCTCCCAGATCTGGCTGCAGCTATGTCCTGACCCTAAGAGACACTGGTTCCGTCTTTGGACTTGTTTCCACATAAAGGAAACCTGGGTGAACAAGCTGCATGGGAGCACCCAGACATTTCGTCAGGTTCCCTGCTCATCAGGACCCTGCAGCTCCCCCACCTCTGAAAGTGTCCCACTGGTCAGTTTAGATACAGCTTTATGAGTCCAGGTGCCTTCTTTATGTATTTATTTATACTATAACAAGAGACAATAACAACAACCCTCTTTAAAGCATTTGCAGGCCTACTAGTTCTCTGTGAAGAATGGCAGTTATTTCTTCTATCATAGTCCATATTGATATAGAGCTGTATACGTAAAACACATATTAGATCAGTAGTCTTAAATATTACTAGGCTTTTATACAAAAATAGAAGTGATGACAAAACTGAATGCATCTCTATTTGCTATCTATAATGAGATTGTAGAAATTTCTCCAACAGTTTCTGTTTTGTAATTCCTGGGTTTGTAAAAATGTTTTAATTGCAATGTCAGGGTATAAAGACAGTGGTTTTAATGGTATGGTGTTGCAAAAGCACTCACTGGCAGACCCCAACTCCAACCACAGCTGCAATCCATCCTATTCAGTCACTCAGAAAAAATTTTGAATAAACTGCCCAAAAGTGAAATGAGTTTCCTCTGACTCTGCCATGCATGTGCAGAAGTGATCTCAATGAACAACCACTGAGCTCTTCTTGCTTTCATTATCCCAGAATAAGAGTTTGGGGGTTGCTGGCAGAAATACCTCAGATTATATCACACATGGGACTGGTGTACATTTGAAGAAAGGCTGATCACCCTGGTGACTCCAATATAAAAAGCCTTGGCCAGATACATCAAAATGGACACCTCAAAATCTATGGAAGAAATTAACTATTCCATTGCAACACCTGTATATCTTTCCTCTACTACACGATTCAGAGCCTTAGTGCAGACGCTGTACTTGACTTACAGTTTGGGATTATGCTTTAAGTGATAGATAATTTATTAATGTGTATCTTGATAACATTAACTATTCCTCTGTGATTGACACAGGTGGTTGTGCCAGAAAATATCAGAGTAATCCAAATTAGAATGCAAAAAACCCTAAATTTCACCTCCAAGTGCAAATATAGCAGCTTTCGAGCCAGATGTGTTGTGCATATGACACTGCATTTAAGAAGTAAACTATTTTGTGAGACTCAGCATAACAAGTCTTGTTTTTCCAGGCCTTTCTTCAGTTCCTGAAGAAGGTGGTTGCTAATGAAGGGAAAAATAAAATGAATCTGTGGAATGTTTCTATGATTGTTGCACCAAACCTTTTCATCTACAAAGGGAAACGTGCAAACCAACAAGAAATGCAAGCAGCCGCCACCACAGCACACATTGTGCGGCTTTTAATTCGGTACCAGGACATCCTGTGGACAGTGAGTAATGCTGGTTCCCTCTTTATGGCTCTGGTACAGATAAGTATTTTGCCATATGCAGCAGCTCTGGAGAAATCAGAGTAAACTGACCTTCCTGGAAGAAAAAGTTAGCTATTCTTTGGAAACTGGCTGGAGTCTTTTATATCTAGAATGAGATAGGGTGACAGATACCTCTGGATGGAGATTTACCTCACCTAAGACATCCATTTTAGCACAAATTGCCCTCTGGAGGTACCTATCCCACACTATTGTTTATACAGAATAATGCAAAGGAGAGTGATTTAATCTAGATGCCTAGGTGAGATATTTAAACTTGAATGAGATTAAATGACTGTTAGAAGTCTAGCCCTAATAACGGGGGCCAAAAGTGTGACTACTTGCTGGACTTCCGAAGGTTGGCATTAAGATGACGACAGTCTCAGCTCATTTCCTCATAAGAGGGAGGCTATGATGGGAATTACAAAAACTACCTCCTAATAAAGTTCCTACATCACTAAAAAGTTTCATGTGGTATGAAAGATGATCTACAGTTTCACCAAAGGAGTAACTGTGGGTTGTTAGAGGGAGGTACTAATCACTTGTATCTTCTGGGAATAAATAGAGCTTCTGCTGCCTAAAATTTGGTGCCTTTCTAAAGTCCCAGGGCCAATTTTATTGGGGAAAAAATTACTGTATATTCTCAGCTCTGGTTTCCTCCCTTTAGGTCCCATCCTTCCTGATTTCCCAAGTGAGAAAAATGAATGAGGCAGCAATGAACAACAGCAAGAGGCAGCTGATGTTTGACAAAGGAGTGAGAAAACTTCTGAGGAGAAAGACCATGGAACGGGACAGACCTGAAAGACCAGAGGTATGATAAAAACATATCATTTTCAAGGGCAGCTTTAACCAGTCTCCCTTCTTTCTTACCTCATAAAAGCTTCTCAGGGTAGGGAGGAAATTTTGCCATACAAAAGATGTGCTTCCCAATCCAACATCCTGATAAGACAAAGCTTTAGGGATTGATTGAGAAAAGGTGAGGAAGGCAGAATGATTTCTAGCAGCCTATTAGCTTTTACAAACACATGCTGGTTTTGTACCTGTTTTATAAGAAAATGGTTATATGTGGACTGTCCTTGACAGCAATGATCTGTAGATATTCAACAAATGCATAGATCTGTAGCTGCATAGTAGGATGGTCCATATTAGGATTAATTGCACTTACCCGTGCCCTAGTCCAGGCTACTTAATATTCTGCTTGCAAGCTTTAATTTTACAGCTTTGCATTAACTTTCTAAGCAGAGAGAAAAACCAGTTTGCCTAACACAGACACCAAAACTGGGTCTAAATTTTAAGCACCTAATGAAGTAGTTTGTGTTGTTATTCCCCATATAGTCAGAGGAGAGAGGTGGATACTTCAGAGGATTTCCAGAGCTCCAGGTGCAGTTCAGACTTAGGAAAGTCTGATACAAAAAATCTTCCTTTGGAGATCTTAAAGCCACCAGATTTTCTCCACTGCCTAAATATGGAGTTTAGGAACTTACTTGAGGTATGCTACCTCAATAGATACCTAAAATTAACTTAGGTATTAGGTGTAACATATAATTTGGGCAACAAAGCATGTTGTGTATACATGCATAATGTATACAGCCCCTATAGCAGCTTATATGTAGTATTTCCATGTAGTAACTACCTTTAATAACCTGGAGAGAAAGTCTTTAGAGTCTTACATGGAGGTTTAAAAGAATGGAGATTGGTGAATTGTAAAAGGCATAATCAAGAAACTGAGGAAGTACTCTACAGTTATTGAAGAACAGTCTTGAAGAGCAAAGGAAAAGACAAATTAGGAAGGAGTGATATTGAGGTTACAAGAAATAGAGAATAAGCCACTTAATACAGACAACAGAGAAAATGCAGAAGGGAACATCTGGGAAAAAAAGAGAAAGAGAAATGCTACATATGAATTGTGAATCCATGCTAATTCAGCTTTTTGGAGAAATCATTTGCCAGCATTGACTGAAATATATTGTGGGTAGGAAGGACACACATTTGTGCTGCAGATGGAGACAGAGATGTTTGTTTAAAATAGCGGTGTAGACTATTGTGTTGCAAAACTGTATTCACCCTGGAACGAATACAGTGAGAGCTTCTGAGGAGAGTCAATTACTGCAGTCATTGCACCTTCGGGAAGACAAGTTCATTGATCGTAGTAATTGGCTTCGCATCTTATAAAAATGAGACTAGCCATGGCAGGTAGCTGAAATATGAATGGTAAATTGGAGGCAAACTCTGTTTGGATAACTGAGTTGAATTTTGAGAGCACTTAACACAATCCCCAGGTCTCAGATGTTCTAAATTACACAGGGACAGAGACTGGAGAGACTATTGTACTCAGCTCAGCATGGTATTAACTGGATTAGAACTGGAATGCAAGCCTTGCTAATTGATTTATCTGCCATTAATCATGGAAGAGTGCATAAACTTCATAGATGATCATTTGAACCCTACACAAGGTCAAATTTCAAATTAACAGAAACCATATGGTACTTCTGATATTTTATTGTACATATGCTTTGATCTAGTTGAAGCTATAGGAAGTGGAAACAGAAAACTGGATCTTCGTGCCGCAGGAGAATTTCATCTTTAAAAGGAAGAGCAGATATTCCTAATCATTTTTATGTATTTTTAAATAAGCAGTTGGTTCACTGACCAATGTTAACAGCAAGCAGTTAAAATTCAAGGACTTGACTTTATTCCGTGTGAATTTATGTAGTACTTACCAAGGAGTTTTTGTCTTTGTGTTGTATCTCATTAGACTGTATCTACAAATTTGCATGTTTAACTGTAAATATGGTTTTTGAATAATCAAGTGAATCCAGGAAAGTGATTTTTGCAAGCAACCTCAAAAGAGTTGCAGAACTGCTTCTGAATGGAGCTAGAGCAATATTTGCCTTAGACTTACTCTACTGAATATGGATTTTAGGGAGCTGTCACTTTTCCCCCATACCTGCAGTCTGACATACCCGAGGGGGTGATAAGAGTTTATGCTCCACTGCATTCAAAAGTCTCTATGGCAATTCAACTCAACAGCCAAACAAAAGCCAAAGACATCCTGGCTCGATTCCACTGTGAAAACAGGTGGGTAAATCAGAACATTTTGTTTTTCCTGAACAATAATGTCAGAACCATTAATGAATAGATTGTTCCCTTTTCAAAGACTCATTGTGTTACAAGAACTCTTTTTCTAATATAAAATTGTTAATTTATGGTTATGTTGGTCAAAGAAATTTTAAGCACTGATTTTATTCTTTATATTTTACTTAATAATTGGCTTCTATACAGAATCAATCTGCCCTCTGTTATGCCACTACTGAAAACATGCATTTTATAGACTTGCTGCATAGAGAACCCAGAGGGATTGTCTTACATCTGCCCATAAAACATTAGTGTTTTTATTTCTGTAAAGCAATAATTATTAACAGTTCCGGGAAATGTTAAATTGTATCTGAAAGTCTTTTCTGCAAAGTCTTCCCATGTTACCACATAATGCTGTTCTTGAAATAAATAATAAAAAATAAATACTAGAATAGAAGGTTTTGTTAACCATGACACAGTAATCTACCTCTCTAGCAGATTCAGTATTCTGCAGTCCTTCATTCAGTAGAAGTCCTCGCTTTTGATAAGTAAGTTCACAGGGGCAAAAATATCAATATTTAGCTTAATATAGATGGTGGTTGTTAAGGCAGTGGTTATAACAGAAAGGCAAACTGAAGATTTTTTTCCATCCTAGCCACGAATCATCACAGAACATGAGAGGCCAGATCCAAAGTTTACATGAAATTGGAGGAAATATAGGTAGGTCTCATTTTTGAAAATTCAATTCTGAATGCCCTTAGCCTCTGAAAACACCTCAGGGCAGTGCTGTTTTCACACAGCTGGGTCTCTCCTACACTCCAGTCCATCTGCAGGAAAGGAGCCTGACCCAAAAGCTGTAATGATTCCTTCTGACTCCAGCGTGACTGGAGGGAGGAGACAGTCACCCTATGGCTGGATCTCAGCTGGACTCCTTACAGTCTTGCCAAATTCATCTGACCTTTCTCTTACCTCTCTCACTCTCATAATTGAGCATTTTTCCATGGTTAAGAGATCCTTAGTCTTCCTCTCATGAGCACATTCCACCTCACAGTCAAGCCTTTTCCCAAGACCTATTTCTTCCTCGCTGTGTTTAATTGTTAACCTCCCCCAAATAAAAAACACAGAACTGAGAATTCAGTCCCTGCATGCATGGGTGTACTATACTCATGCTAATCCATGGAATTTATTTAGATTGTAAATTCCTTGCAGTAGGGATTTTGTCTTCTTCCGTGTTTCATGCAGTGACAGTTTTGTAATAACAACAGTGGAATAACGCAAGTTCCTGGCCTAAAGGTCAAAAGCCACCTTTTAATTTGATATTGCACAGTCCTGACCCTCTCCTTTCTCTGTTCTTACTAAAATTCTGGATGCTCTGTTGAATCTTTTGTCAACTGTCTGATAGATTATTCCTTAATTCTTCTAGATTCAGCTCTAAACAGTTTCTATAAAGTTACTACAAAACATTACAGACTTGCTTCAGCAGCAGTTAAGAAGCAAAGTATTAGATACACAAAGCTAAATTTGATTAGCAATTTGTTTTGCCTGGCTAAACAGGGTGACCAACCAATGCTAAAACAGGAGAAGATCCTAAAGGTCTTATGAAACAATCCCACGTATTCCCACCATGCTCCTTCAAAAATCTGGACGTTTAAATTGCATCTTCATTTAAAATTATTTTTATAGTCCCAGATCTTTCAGGATACCTTAGTCCACTGATTATTCATTAATTCATTTATATTGCTTTCACTTGAATAAAATCATTAGGATCCCAGTGACCTTATAAGTAACTGTACAAAAATTTTACCGTAATTCTTTGTGTCACAGCAATGTAACCTCACCAGTTAAATAGCTTCATCACCCCGTGTAAATGCAATATAGTCCAACAAATCAACTAAACTCAAGAATTTATTGCCTTGTTACTCAATTAAGAGGCAGCAAATGCCTCTTTCTGTGGCAAAGGCAGCAGGGACTCCCCAACCACCCAACTCCTATTCCCAGTCACCACCTAACGAAACCCTCAAATGGCCAGACTTCAGAGGACTCTCTTTTTTTTTTTTTTTTTAAACCAGCAAAACAGCAACCGCCAAAACCCTTAATATCCCTATATTTCTTTGCAAGATCCTAGCTGGATGGGAACACATGTTTTACAGAGCTACTTTCTCAGCGTTTAAAAATAGTGTAGAAACAAAGTCACAGAGTTGTAATTCCAGCCCAGTAAATCCAAAGAAATAAAAAAAACCATACTGTGACACTTACAGTAACAGTGTTGTTAATACTTCTAAAGAAACGGTAATATTTCTTCACCATTTGACTAAATGCCTTGTCCATAACTCAGCATAATGCAGGGCCATCCTGCCTGGAAGTGAAAGTGAATTCATGACTCTCACTGAGTAAAACCACTGGCAAATTTACCAAAGCCCCTGTCTGTATCCAGCCAAGATGTAAGCTGGACACACCAAACCAGGCTTGCTACGTGCAAGTTGGAGATACGTTCCAGAGCATTTTAACATAGCCCTGTCCCATTTACTAATGTGCTCAAAACATCCTATGAATCATGGCTGCTGATTTCCATTTCAGGTCAGCACTGTTTGGATCCAGATGCATACATGTTAGATGTTTACCGTGCAAATCCTCAGGCAGAATGGGTGATAAAACCAAAAGCAACCTGAAGCAGAAGGCTACGGTGTACTGGACAAAAGCCAAATTGACAACAGTGATGCCTGTTGTTTTAAGAAGCTCTTACCAGAGACGAAACAAAATGGTAGCTACAGGACATCATTCCTTCCTACTGTACTGCCCAACTGATGTTCACCATGTACTACTTTTGGTATAAGCATTATCACTCCAGGTTCTAGACCATCGGAAAATATCACATCAGTTATGCTTTCATATGGATTACACTTGTGCCAATTGGCCCAGGAGTTAAGGAGGACGAACCAAGGTACGGTGCACAGAAAACAACCTGTTGCATACAGAGTTGTTTGTTTCCTGATCTGGCGTTAGAACATGAATTTTTGGAAAGGATCCAATGGCATCCAAGGATGCATGAAACACAACCGACCACAGCGTAACACAGAAATATCACAGAGACATTCAAGAAGAGAAAGTATTTGTCATGCATGGAAGAGAGGAGCTTGACCTGCAGCAGTGCAAAGACACAGCTGTGTGACAAAATCAAACCTTTCTGCTGAAAGTAAACCTGTACAGTGTGCATTACTGCAATATTTACATCTCTCCATCACTCCTCATGAGTATCTGATGCTGGGGAAGGGAGGGAGGCAGGAGGAAGAACTACTGTATAGACAGCTATATTACTTTATGTACGTACCACTGTATATATTACTACCAGTCTTCCAAATCATCTGTCTGGATCACATTACTGTGTGCAATTGTAGCACCACAAACCATTTTCTCCTTCCTTCCCCTGTCACACACACAAGCTTCAGGAGATAAATGCTAGGTGAGAAGGAGCATATTCCGCTGGCTCTATTTTTTACTTGACACTCTCAGATTTAAGTCTGTGTAATGCCATAATATGAGATATGTGTTAATGGTGCCACTTACAGCCATCATCTTTTTTGTTAAATATTATAGTTTCTTAATTTGTAACCTGATTTTTTTTGTTTATTTTAGCTTTAATACGTAAGCAACTTTTATACTATTCAGCTGCATTGAGGAGAGAGATCTTTGTCCAGATCTTGTATAATACAGCATGGAGAAGAAAAAGAGCTTCCAATGAGCAGAGGGATTTAATACTCTTATTTAACATTTACACATTAAGGCCTTAAAACCATAGCCAAACTAGGCCCTGTTGTGCTGAGGGTTTTACACATACATAGCAAATACATAGCAACTCCTTTTACAGATAGCACGTAGTCTGAGAAAACACACAGGCTGACAACAGAACTGTGGGCTGCAACTGCATTGGGAATGCAGCACAGCAAATGGACGTATGTCTAGTTTTTAGCCAGTCACAACAGCGAGCACCATTCTTCACCTAATCCTCTCGTTTTGGGCTGTACTTTACAGAACTAAAGCATGTTTGTTGAGTAGGGAAATCGCAAGTCTCTAGAAAACAGCAAGTTTGGGGTTTTTTTTTCAGTCTTCAGTCTTGTGCAAAAAATGGGAACTAATGCCTGCAACTGCACTGCAATGTCTCCATCATTGGATGACGATATTGCACAATGAATTCACCCACAGTCTGAGCAGTGGGTTTTGTTCCTGATCTGGACACACAGATGAGGCAGAAGCTAGTGCCCTGTTTACCAGGTAGCAGTGTTCTGAACGAAGTCTTCCAGGTAAACATAAAATGCACTGTCCTGCAGAAAAAGCCTGTAACTTGCGATGCTCTGCTGAAGCTGTGTGATGAAGATTTGCACATTCTAGAAACCCTACTTCTGGTTCAAAGTTAATCGTGTTCTCCAGTAGTTAACTTTCATTGTTAGTGTTCAGTGAAAGAAATCAATGTTCAATCAGTAATTTTACCAGCAACAATAATGTCTACAGAGGGCAGAGCCCGTCTTTCTTTCTTACCTTCTTGAGATAAAAAATGATAAAATTTAGCAACATTATCCTTTCATTTTCTTTAAAACATTTTAAACTTGCCTTTTTTTCTTCTTAACACTAATGGATGCATAGTTGCAGCCAGCAAAAGACTGGGACAGTTGTATTATAAAATATGAGGCTTATTTTGACAACTATTTATTTTAAATATATGAGAGAGAGTAGATCTGTGGTTTGTTCATAGGACTAAGTACAAACATTTTGTCAAGTGCTTTGCTCCTGATTCCCTTTAGTTCCCTCTGTGGCAATGGACAACTCTTTCTACTATGCTGCCCTTTTCTTTTAGCTGTAAAATAGGGCTAGTACTTTCCTTATAAAGGTAACATGAGAATTGGCTGAGTTAAATTCTGCTCTCAGATGCAGCTAAACAATCCCCTGAGCAGAACAGGAGCTATAAACATCCACCTAGGAAGGACAAACTCAAAGGGATTTTATGTGGAAAGTGCTTTGAATACGCAGAACATCATATAAATGCTAAGCATCATTGTATTTATAGCCAACGAAAGAGCTTTTACAACTATACAGAAAGCTGAAACATTAACTAAAGAATTTGAAATGTAGCAAATGAGAACTTTCTACAGTACTTTCAGACAAATACATTGACCTCCTCTGTCTTGCCCACTCACTTCACTTTGTGTTCTCAATGGCCGTGCAAGGAAAAGTACAGAGCACCCATGTGTTCACGTGGTAACTTGCTCAGCATGTTCTGGACTCTGAAACAAGGACTTCATCAAAATTATTTCTGAAATACATCTCACTGTATTCCATACAGGATACAAGGGGTTTTTGGAAGACTTTCACCTTTTACCACTTGGCAACTTAGGAAAACCAAATCTCATGTAATGAAATGCATCCTGTGAACACTTGTTTTATACTAAAATTGCCTATGACTTTAGAAGACATGCATATTAGCAGATGAACTAGATTCTATGTACAGTGCCCAGACTACTACAGCACAGCCAAATACCTGCTGTCTCTGAAACAGAATGGCAAAATTCTTTTTTGATACAAATGGACCTAATGACGCCATGTGTACTGTGGTTAATACTGTTACACATTAGGTTGTTTTGTGTTGTTGTGGTACACTAACTTGATTTAATATGCAGCAGACAAACTGAACAATATCTATGACATTTTTGAATATAAGGTCTCAACTTTAGGCCTTGTATTTCAAAATGCTGGTGGAGGGACTGGGAATTTTGTTCCTCCTAAGAGCAGTTGAAGTCAAGTTACGATAGGATCATCACCTAACAAAAAGCAACATGTGGAAAGCTATTAAGAAGGAAGTGGTAGCAAGCAGGGAGAAACTTACTCAGCAAACTCCGAAGATGCCTCAAGCATTTATGTATTCCATGGTTCTACAAAGACAGCATTTTGCATATCAACACATAGACAGAGAGAGTGTATTGCAAGAAGTAGGTATTGGAAACAGACTGGAATGTTATAACCTGTTTATGCAGCTGACATCATTAGAATGTGTGTGTGTGTGTGCGCGTGTGTGCAAATGTGTCTATGTATAATATTAACTACCTCACTCTGCATTTTCCAGGAAAAATATTTTGGCTTAAAGGTTTACTATTCCAAAACTTTCTATTATTAATTTCACCTCTCCACTAGTCTTTAACATTGATAAAATGTTTCTCCTTCTAAGAGCCAAGATTTGGAAATTACCAAAAAATATATATTAAAAGACATATTTCAGGATATGGATGAAATTTTATCCAAACCGTGTTGCCTAAATTACTGCTTGTAACGTAAACCTTATGAGATCAGATCTTGGGGTTAATAGACAACAAATACAACCATACTGTGTTTCAGTTTTTATTTTTCAATGGCTTTCTATTAATGCGCATCTTCTCTGGAAAATAATACGATGCCACTAAACAAAGCAAAATGTTTGTATGTACGTTTCCTTTGCAATCCTCATTATGTTATGTGTTTTGTTGAAGTAACCCTGCACGTAAGTGTATTTGTACAGGAGAATGTGTCCATTCTATTGTATCCATGTCAAAAATAAAAACAATACCAACAAAGCAAGCTCTTCAAATCTAAACACATGGTTTTCAGATAGAAGCAGCTGACAGAAATTGCAAAAAGCAGTGGTGAATCTGTCTTAAAAGCAACTCTGTTATAGCACCTGAACAGCTAGCTACACAATGAACCACATTCTGCCATCCTTCCTCAAGTGGAACAGTTCTTTGCTCTTGCACTGCCTTGATGCACGGTACAAAAGGACACTGCTTGGAGGAGTCCTGCCTCACTGAAATCCATGACAAACTGCTTTGGGGTTTCATTTGAGCCAGTATTTTTTAAACTAGTATGAAATACACAGAGCAAAACTGACTTTAGAACAAATAGTAAAAATGCATAGTAAAAGCCAAACAAAATTGTAAGAAGCAAACAAAAATGCTGCTAGTTCAAAGAGAAAAAAGGAGAGGGAAGTGACTTGTAAAGAACTATGTTTATGACAGATGCATCTTCAAGTACGAAACATGTTTGTCACTACTCAGTGGTCAGGCCAGCTGATGAATGGATGGCCTTACTTGAGTCAGATCAAGTGCGCGTCCCCCAAGCCTGGCTCAAGCGCAACTACTGGAAGACTAATTTTAGAAACAGAGGCAGGCACAGTAGGAAAAGGTAAAGACAGAATTGCTGACTGGCCTGTGAATTAGGAATCACAGACCACCAAAGGTGCTTCCCTGTGTCCTGTAAGAAATACTGTTTTCCCAAGAAAGATGCATTAGTTCTCATTGCCAAGATACAAAGCTGTTCCCAAACCAGACCCAAATGGTTTCTTCACCAACAAAACATTTCATATGCATCTCTATGCTGTGGAGTTGCTGCTTGTCCTGCAGCTGATTAGATGAAAACATAAACGGGAACATAATCCTCCTAGACAATGTGACTATATAATGGGGGTCAGAAGCACTGGATATCATGGCAGAAGGAAAAGGGATTGGAGCTACCATACAAAGTATAAATAAGAAAATTCTATTCATTAGACTCTGAATCTGAGACCTTCAAAATTATGCCTTTAGTCTCCTGCTCCCTCTGCTGGACTCTATCCACTTATACTTTTCACTTCTTAGCCTTTTCTAACTGAAAC